CAAAAACGACTTATGCGCATTGCACTCGGTGTGATTTGGAGTGCCACTGTGAAAAGATGTCGGGGTCTTAAGCCGATTTAACAACTCGTCTAGGCTCAGTTTTTGATGCTGAATCTGAAAAAAATATCTTTAGAAACTCAGAGAAAGCATGAACCGAAATATAAGGCGTATTTTGAAAAAAATGTGTTTTTGAAAAATACGACATACTTCGATTTTTTGGTCACTCTTTTTTATCACTTCTTTTTGCAATGTCATTCATAAGGAAATAAATACGCGCTAAGCTTAATACAGCTTGTCCTACGTTCCAGTTGTCTATTTTACCACAATTTGAAAACGAAAACATCCTACTTGCCTTTTTTGTGATCCACTGAGAAAACAGTACCCACTAAAAATAGCTCAGTAGAATTTGACCCACTAGGAGACCTAGTGGGCCGTGACCCATCTAAATGGATTCGTTTTACCTACTGACACGATTTTACTCAGTGATGACCCACTTTATATTTTACAGTGCGCATACGAATTAAGCTGAAGTATGGCATTGAGTGAAAATAGTGGTAGCTGTGTAGCTCGTTTTGGGTTTTTCGTTTGCTAAATGCGAACTCGTCTAAAGGCTTAGTGTTGCCCAAGTGATAATAGTTAGTCATTTCTGTCTAATTTGCCGCCGGCTCTGTTTTTTATTCGATGTCTCCAGTCTATATGACGTTCAGTAAAGTTTTCATACAAACTTGTTTCATGTTTGAAATATGTTATCAAACAGGGTGAAAAGATCGGCGAGTTTATCTGGTAAAGTATACGTCGGTGGTTTTTTCTGTTTGCTGTTTCACACTGATATTGTAGTTAGAGCTCGAGTATCTGTAGTTAAATCTCAATGAATGTGCATTCGATTTACGTACTATACAAGTCTGTTGTGGAGCGAATGATTTTTATAACTGTTTGCTGATTTGTTTATTCTGTTAATAACTCTGTTTCAATGTGGGTTCACTGTTCGCAAATTCTACTAAGTAGTGCGGTAGATTTACTTTTTGCCATAGAGTTAGGATAGGAGGTCGTAGCCTCATACGCTGCCATGAAAAGAACAACTTTACATAGCCTTGTTAGTTGTATTCATTTTGTTTCATCAAGAACCGGAGACGGCGGAACCACTAAAAGCCTTACCCGAATTTGACTCGATTGCGTTGAGCCTAGCCTCGTTTTTATGCAGAATTTTGAATTTAGCACTATGTTGTTTGGATAAAGTCAGCTTTTTTTCAGTGATCTTCAAAACAGAGGCTAGCATAAGTATGTGCGATGATGACAAAGGACTGGATTAGAATAAAATGCTAACTTTTGACATCAGAAATGCCAAGAAACCTCGAAATGTAAAACTGTCTTTTGTTCAAAATAACGAAGTAGCCCACTAATTATATAGATATGATACTCTTGCCGCGAAAACTTTTACGGAAAATTACATCTTCTCGAAAAACTTTCAAAGTTTGTTGCTGTCTTACCGTGAGCATTACCCCGTTTGAGAACGTTGTGCCACCTCTGTCAGCAACGAGTGTTATTCTAACCAGTACTGCTGCTACTGTTTCTGGTACAGGCATCACTTCCATGTCAACAATAGTTAAGAGTATATGATAATGCGTCTTTCAAAGACGTTTCACATTCTGTTTTAAATCTCTCCTATGACGCAAAGGTAGTGTTACAATTCTGAGTGGTACTGCTAGGCAGAAAGAATGGATATGAAAACGTCGAAAGAAAAAATGTCGAAGGAAAAAATGTGGAAAACTAAATATCGAAGAAAAAAATATCAACAAATAGATGCCGAAATATTTTTGGTCGAAGAAAAAGATGTCGATCACATAAAACGTCGAAAATGTTAAGATGTAAGAAAATGTATGTACAGCTTCTTACATTTTACGCTGTTTCTCAGTTGACCTATCTTGTTGACCTATCAGTTGCTATATCTTTTCTTGATTCCAACAAAGGTCATCGACAATTGATTCGGGATGGTTTTCTTTACAAACTCAATAAACATAAGTCTTCGAAAATATATTGGATCTGTTAAACTAAGAATTGTAAAGCCAAGGTTCATACTGATCCAAATGATAACTTTCTGAACTCGAGTGGTGACCATAATCATCTACTTGAACCAGAAGATTTTGAAGTCCAATGCTTTCGAAAAACTGTCAAGGTTCGCGTTATAAACGAGACAGCACCCATATCGAAAATATACGACGAAGAAATTGCTAAAACTCAATTCTCATCAGAAACGCTAGCAGGTGTTCCAATGCTTGGTGCTATACGTAACAATCCTATAATGTAAAATGTAAGAAACTGTACACACGCTTTCTTACATCTTAAAATTTTCGACCATTTATGTGATCGACATTTTTTTCTTCGACCAAAAATGCTTCGCCATTTATTTTTCGATATTTATTTTTCCACATTTTTTCTATCGCCGTTTTCAATCCAAACCGGCAGAAATTAGTCGCAAGACCGCAATTCAGAACGTAAACATGTCTGCAAACATTATTTTATCGAACAAATTAATATTCTCGAACAATATCCCGAAGAAACGCTAGAAACTATCATTAATATTCTCAAACATGACATTAACTTAAGCGAAAAATCAAATGTGTCATTTGTTTATAAGCTAAGTGAGACTTTAGAACTGCTATTCCAACAAGGGAAAGATTATTATAATTCACTAGACCACACGGACATTGAACGTGACTACATCAGACTCAAGCAGGACTTCTTCTCTGCTTCGACATATTCCGAATCAGATCCGGATTACCATAGGAAACTATACCTCGAATATTCTAAACTACTAATCATGCTTCGGGCATGCGACGGTGAGTCGAACAACCTAGCAGAATGGAAACGTTTATTTATCGATTATGAAGGAGTAACACATAAACCAGATGATCCAGAGGATTTTGACATGGAACCATCTGAACGAATCTTGTCTACTACCCATTTTTGTCTGGCGATCTTCTTTTCGCTTTTCATTAACAACAGAAACGCTCGGCCCTGTAATTTCTGCTAGCTTAAAAGAGGTTTTTGATTTAATTAATCTCGATTGATAATTCGTTCACATACATACGTATCAATATTTTCTCGATTTAAAAATTTACTCTTAAGTGCACATAATAAATGAAAGTTTTCTAAATTACTATCAACAGAATTTTGTTCTGTGAAAATAACGTCATCTAACGGTTTTATTTTTTCAAGAAAATTATTGTCAATCAAAACATTTTGTTCAACAACATTGACAATTCGTTTCTTAAATTCTATGTAATATATTTTTAAAAAATCATTTGATGAATCTTTTCTTGAAAACATTTTTCTAATATTTGAAATACAAATTTATTAATAAATCATCATTTTTATTATTTCGTGATTCTAATGCGAGTTGTTTTAATGAATCATTAGTTGTTGTTGCCCGAGATTTAATTTCTTTTGATAAAATTTGTACACAAACAATTCTCATTTCAATTGTGTCGATTTTATTTGTTAAAAAATTTTCGATTGTTTCCAATACTTTTGTTGGTACAAATTTCTGCTGAGCAACAATTGCTGCTGAAGCACAAATTAAATAATACTTCAGTTGCTCATCTTTTATATCGTCTTTTAACAATAACTGTTCCCATACCTTTTGTATTATTTCATCCGACAATTCTGTAACTCGCCTTAAAACAACAACCACAATACCAATAACAGTAACAAAATTCAGTATTTTGAATTTTCAGTTATTTGATTGACGGCGTTATTGTTTAAACCTTGTCTAAAATTTATTTCCAATAATATTTCGCTTATCTAAGGATGACACTCTTGCTCATGCTGTTACTGTTTGTCAAAATTTATCAAAGCATCAATTAATAAATGTACTTTATCTTCACTAATTGCACATCCTTGTTGAATATTTTCTTTTAAATTCTCCAATGAATTTGTACTAATTTCTAATATTTGTAAATTTTTGAGAGCATCGACTTTTTATCTCAAATGGCTGGTACAGATATGTATATATTGGCTCTTAAATTACTTACCGGTCGAACAACAAGTTGAATTAACCTTGGATACTCACAAAAAGCACCCAACTAACTCTTTACAATAATGACTACTGCAAGTTTGATGATTTGATTCACATTCATTTCATCACATGAACACAGTATCCATACAGTATTATAATGATATTACCGCTAAATTCTGTTTGTTCTTTCAGCCATTTCTCTACTTTGTTGAGCAGTATTCAAAGACTGGGTAAATATCCAAAGGCTCTTTACCTTAATGATCTTTTTGCTGTTTTTCCACTATCCATAAAGTCTTACGCCGAACCCTCTGTTTCTCAAAGAAAAAAGACATTTTAAAAAAATTGTCAAATGCAAAAAAAACAGCGCAAATCTTTCCAATCAGTTTACTTATCTCCTTTTCGCAGAATACAGACTCGCGTACATTTCAAACGGCACAACTTTAGTGCCTTGTTCAGTCTGCAACGACTCAAAATGTTTTCCCAGACAACAGCTTTGGCCATCTTCTGTGTCATACTGTAATGGATGGTACAATGAACGTGTGATCCCTCTCTCTCATGAACCTTGAAAAAGTATTACTCTTTGCTTCACATGATACTTGAGTTTGAAAACCGAATAAATACTTCCAATATTGTTCTACATAGAACACAACATGCTCTACTGTTCCAAAACACGAATATTATTGTACATCAAATTATATGAGCTACTATGGCTCTCTGAACGCTATAAGGTAGCGTCCTCTTCCAACAGTTATGCAGTAGCTTAAGTAGCGAATAACTCTAACAAGAACCAAGTTGTAGCGAGAAGTCTAAGTATCTAAACGTGATAAAACCAAACAGCGCAATTATATTGTATAATGAAGTTTCAGAT